CAATTGAAATGCAATGCAAACAATAGGTGTTGTGAGATGTCATACAAGGAGTTGCGGTCAAAAGTGATGTCCAAATGGTTGGGACAGTAAATGATTTCATGGCAAGTGTTGCGATCGACCGATAATATAATCAAGTCTTCACTCATCACTCAATACTTGTGTTTACAATCAGACCAAACAATTGATGACAACATTTGTCACTCAAATCGCATCTCAAATACAAATAAAAACGTAAACACTTTTTGTGACACAATTTTGAGAGACTTTTAAACACTTGTTATGACTGGTAATGAGTGCAACACTACTGTACAGTACACTAGTGTTCAACACAATTAGTTTTATACCCAAAGTATTTTCATAATTAAACGATCAGATAATAGACATTAATTTTGATTGCATTAACTGTTAATCAAATTGAATACAAGTGTTGACCACAAGGAAGGGATCATTTCCCTCGTCTTTACAACATTAAGACAAAACCTCTCGACTCACTCAGGAGTCACCAAATATTACTAAATTAAGTTTAATTATTGTTTAATATGCCTTAAAAATTCATAAATCATTCACGTAGCATAAAAGATGCCATCACTAAAATAGTAACCTTGGATCAAATAAATATAAGCATGATACAACTATAATAAGGGCTGGCATTAAACCTTCCCATCCATTCCCGTGTGATTAACGGGGAAACTGAGAGTCAAGTGAATGATTGTAAAGGTTGAGAGTCTATTTTGCGTTATATAACAGGAATAGTACTGTACTGTGAGTGGTATGAGTGGTGGGAGTGCTGGGAGTGGTAGGACTGGTAGGTGTGGAGAGGAGGGGGTGTTGTGATGGGCTGTGAGGGGTTGTGAGGGGTGTTGTATTGGGGGAGCGATTGATGTAATAATTGATAAAATGGTGGAAAACTAACTGTTGCTCAACACATATACAACATATGAGTGACGCAAACATATTATACAATATTAGACATACTTTAGTGCAAAGCATTGAATGCATTGAATGTATTGATTGTCATAAATATCGTCACATATAGTGATCATATGGTGTGAAAGACAACACAGTTTGGCAGACATGAGACCTCTTCGGCAAACTCACCACCGATTCATTACATCCACTAATCATTAACGCAATTATGATCTCATTGTCTCAAAACCACACCATTTAAGGCAATAATACGTCCAAAAGATTACCACTAATTATCATCTCATTATGACTACCAGAAGGTCTGCACTTCTCTTATGATTTGTTTTCATTTCATTTCTTATAATTGATTGCAATCTGTCTTAACATGTGATTAACGGCATGTCTTGTACTCAATGTCTTTCATTTAATTGATCTCATAGTTAGAGATAGAGTAGTGAAGGGATGGCAATGATTGGGAAGAGTATTACCCATCCATTGCCATCAGTAGGCGTCCTTTGAAGGTTCTCTCTCTCTCTCTCTCTCTCTCTCTCTCTCTCTCTCTCTCTCTCTCTCTCTCTCNCTCTCTCTCTCTCTCTCTCTCTCTCTCTCTCTCTCTCTCTCTCTCTCTCTCTCTCTCCCTCTCCCTCTCTCTCCCCTTTGTTTGATTGAATTAATGCTGATATGTGTGCTCACATGATGTCAGTCACGGGCGATGGTTTCACGCGAACATCTCAGGAGTGGAGGCGGAGAAGATGTTGATGGAGAGGGGCTTTGAGGGCAGTTTCCTCGCGCGTCCGTCCAAATCAAATCCGGGAGACTTCACACTATCGGTGAGACGTAACGGTCAGGTGACACACATTAAGATACAAAACACTGGCGACTATTACGACCTCTACGGCGGCGAGAAGTTCGCCACTTTGGCTGAATTGGTTCAGTACTATATGGAAAACATGGGACAACTGAAGGAGAAGAACGGCGAAGTGATTGAACTGAAGTTCCCGTTGAACTCATCGGACCCGACGTCTGAGCGTTGGTTTCACGGACCCCTCTCTGGCAAAGAGGCCGAGCGTTTGGTCCTCGAAAAGGGCAAAAACGGAAGCTTTTTGGTCCGCGAGAGTCAAAGCAAACCCGGAGATTATGTGCTGACAGTGAGAACCGATGATAAGGTGACTCATGTGATGGTGAGATGTCAGGACACGAAGTTCGATGTCGGCGGTGGAGACAAGTTCGACAGCTTAAGCGAATTAGTCGAACACTACAAGAAGAACCCTATGGTTGAGACCACCGGAACTGTTGTCCATTTGAAGAATCCCTTTAACGCCACGCGAATCACTGCCTCTACCATTGAAAATAGGGTTAAAGTGTTGACCAAAGAGAACGTCCAAAACAGTGGTAAAGCGGGCTTTTGGGAGGAGTTTGAGGTTTGCATTCATTTATTTAATTAACTTTTTAATTACTGCTGTATTGTGTTATTAATTGTAATTTCATTTAGTATTTACAACAACAAGAGTGCAAACATCTGTACTCTAGAAAAGAGGGACAAAAACCTGAAAATAGGGCCAAAAATCGGTACAAAAACATTCTTCCCTGTATGTGATGATTGATTCAATCAATTCATTGTCTCTACAAATATACTATCATATATTGATTGATATAATCTCTTTTCCTATTCAGTTGATTACACGCGAGTTCTTCTGAGAGATTACGACAATACAGTCGGTGCCGATTATATAAACGCCAATATTATCACTATTGATGACGAAAATAACAGTCCGGATAACGACAAAAAGACATACATCGCGACTCAGGGCCCGCTCACCACCACATCCAATGACTTCTGGTGGATGGTATGGCAGGAGAGCTGTCACGTCATTGTTATGACCACTAAAGAGATCGAAAGGGGGAAAAACAAATGCGTCCGCTATTGGCCCGATAGGGGACAGACCAAAGAGTTTGGCAAAATTGTTGTCAAAACTATTAGCGAAAAGCCGACAATTGATTACACGTTACGCGAGTTCTCGGTGTCGAAGGAAATGGAAACAAAAGAGAGCCGAACTATATATCATTACCACTTCACCGCTTGGCCCGATCACGGCGTGCCCTCCGATCCCGGATGTGTTCTCAACTTTCTTCACGACGTGAACAGAAAGCAAGAGGCCATCGATGACGCCGGGCCTGTCATTGTTCACTGCAGGTCTCACACATTCAAACATATTTGCAAACAATTTTGCTAACAATTGTCAAATGGATTGCTTTTAGTGCTGGCATTGGAAGGACGGGTACTTTCATTGTAATCGACCAAATTATAGAGCAAATCAAACGACACGGACTCGACTGCGAGATTGATATTCAAAGAACTATTCAAATGGTTCGGTCCCAGAGGTCAGGTATGGTTCAAACAGAAGCACAATATAAGTTTGTATACCTCGCCGTTCAACACTATATCGAGACATTGCAGCAAAGGATTCTCGCAGAACAGGTGTGCAATGCATTTCTCATATTGTTGTCAATATATTACAGTTATAGTAAACATGTAATTAATGTGAAATCATTATTGAATATGTGAATGAGTAGAAGAGTCTTCAGGCGGGCCGGGAGTACACGAATATAAAATACACGAGTGAAGCGGCCGCTGGTTGTGATACAAATAAGCTGACGTCCGCCGCATCCCGTCCCACATCTGTTGGCAACAACTCGTTTGTCGCAAATCTGTCCTCAACTCAAGCCATTCAGACAAACACTGCAATGATGTCGACTAAAGTAAAGGAATCGTCGCCACAAATGGCAAACTTTATGTTTCAAGCTTTATAATTGTTGAATAAAATGAATTCACACTATATTCTGTTCAATATTCTGTATATTCTGTATTATATTCTGTACTATATTCTGTATGTGTTATACTGGGCTGTGATGTGAGAGTGTGTGTTGAGAGGGCGCTGATGCATATATCCTAATCCGGTACTCTCTATGTGAGCCTCAGTTCGCCATTTTCTGAGCTCTCGATCGCATCTCCGCATACTTTGACGAGCACTCGATGTCTTTGGATTGTTTTGATTTAGCCCACAATCACAACATCAGTCTCTCGTCCTGACCATCCATTTCAAGTGTTTTTGTGTCGTTTTGTTCGCAATGTATTGATTCACACGCTTTGGACACCGTTTGAGGGGAACTGGAATTTGGTTGAACTGAGCGTTGGTTTGGTTTGTTGTGTGACTCCGAGACCGCAAGACATGAACGAATTGGACTCTCTTAGACAGGAGGCCGAGACCCTCAAGAACACCATCAGAGTATGTGAACACTCATTATCACCCCTTATATTACTCATGCATTTCTATTGTCCAGCAATAGTCACCTCTATTTACCACTTGACATATATTGAGATGAAATTGTTTATGCATTTTTGAGTGCCTTTTCTTTTAAACTCAATACTATTTTACTCTATATTTGTGTAATTGATTGCAAAAATATGTAATTATTGAAATGCTTTGCTCTAAAACCATATATTAAGCAACAAATACCATAATATATGATATAATATATCAATGATTGAAATACTATTGAAATGTCATGTAATGTTGAGCCTATGGTCACACCCTTACAGTCGATGGATATAACATACAGTTGTACTTCTTTGCTGTCAACACAACGGTTCGGCCATTTAGTTGATAGCATCGATTAGTTCATAGCATAGATAGTAGATATTAATTAATTAATTAATTGTTTTCTCCCAAAACCACTCTTTAATTACTTAATTATTTCATATTTTATCCGAATCGACAATTTGTTGCGCTTTTTAGATATTTTAGTTGTTTATTTGTATGTACCCTAAAGTCTCGTGCGTTACCCACGGGTTACGTTCGTAAGTCCAGTCCCTGTAAGTCCTCGTTCGCAAAGTTGCCTTTGGCCGACACCCCCTCCCCCGAGTGTAATCAATTGTGGATACTATTGAGTGTATATTATATCTATTCTCGACTGTACTATACATGCGTCGGTCATATAGAGTGGTAGATTTGCAATTATTCAAACATTCAAAAGTTTGTATCAAATAGACCTGGGCTAAATCAACTCATATACGGTCTGCCCTCGATTTTGACACGAGTTATTTTAGCAGATTTGGGTTTTAACATTGCGTTAGCGTTAGTCCGGCCGACCCCTAAGCATACTATCATATGTCCAATGGTTGCCGTTTTGACACATTTCCATTTGAACACTCAATTTTGTGTGTATGGCATAAACACATTGACTAAAAGTACTTTTTTGTAATAATTATTTTT